TAACAACACATGTGTCATGAGAGAGGGACACGAGTGTAAAAATGTGTGCAAAGGTCGAATATGTCGAGTACACAGAGCAAGAGGGTTTCAATGACTGAAAGTAGCTCATGATGGTCATGTAAGTCTAGAATTTAAAGCAATAATCTAAATTAAATCTTCAACATGTAAAAGGTCTAGTTGAGTCTATAGAAATCTATGATTATAAATTCATATCTCATAAGTCATCTCTCTCTCTCTCTCTCTCTCTCATGCTGGCTGCATTTACTTAGGCTCTCTATTCATAGTCTCAGACATAGCAATCCGTTGAGGCAGCTTATGCAAAGTCTGCTGAAAATAGAACTAGGGGCATCATAAAAAAAGGAAAACAGACTGCCTGCTTATTGCTGTTAATGCCCAACGCCATTGATGCCAAGCAATAAAAATGAAATTCATGAGTTTGGGCAAAGAGGAAGAAATATTTTTGTATTTAAAATTTTTTTTTTAAATTATTGATAAAAATAAAAATATGAAATTATTTTCCATTTTTACCAGAGCCTGTTTCTAGGCCAGCTGAGGCTAAAGTATACCAGAGTGAAACAACTTGGTTGGAAATCATTTGAAGTTGGTTTTTATTGCCGTTGTCCTGCGCTTTAATAAAATGTGGCCACATTTGAGCACCTGCTGTGCCCGCACGCACTTGGATGTGGTTTTGTTTGTTGCTCTTGTTAGGCAGGTTGGTTCATAACCTTTGTCCAGTGGCACTCTGGCCGTCTGGCAGTCAGTTGTCAGGAGCGTTGACAAAAAGAGTGTACTTCATTTTGATATGGCCACAATTGCGGCGTTAACATGGCAGCCATGCTAAAGCTGTTCATAAATCAAATTGGTTTTTATCGCGCTGGCCATTTGTCAGTGCACCTTTTACATGGTCAACGCTTTTCAGCCGCAATTTCCACTGCCGTTGATTAAATAAACCAAAATCGAAATTCTGTTTGTGCTGGAGCTGCCGAGGCGCAAGTACATAAATATTATTTTCGTAAATCTCAATGAAATATGGCCAGACAACTTTGACGAATGGCTATGCGCGGCCCCAGCACATATGCATACCGAATGTTCATAAATAAATAAATGAATTAAATGCCCCCAAAAACACCAAGAACTGAGCGAGGCCTACGGCCCAGGTGCAGGCCAAATAGTAGACAGACAGACGGCCATTTCTGACAGGCCCAAATGAAAGCCAGCATCAGCACCAGATCCAAAATGAAATGAATGCACGAAAAAAAAGCGAAAAAAATTAAAAGTCACTTCAAAGCAACAGACGCAGCTTCTGATTTGCATATTTAATGCCATTTGCATAAAGCAAACATAACAAACGTTCCCCATCCACCCGCCATAACCTACCCTAGCCACCTTTTGCTAAATAAGTGGGAGTACTAAAAGGTTTCGATCAAGATGGCTCAAAAGGCGAAATTAACATAAGCCAAAGATTA